TTATATTTCCGCTAGATAGCTCTATAGTGGATCTATATCTGCTAGATAGTCTGTAGTGTAATGTTTGATATATTAGGGTGCAGGGATGCATCCTTGGCCTATGAGTACATTTCTGAAGGGACAGAATGGAATTTATTACAGGCATGATGCTTTCAGGTAACCTCTTACCTCAGAGATTGAGCATCTCTGGACTACTTGATGAGTGGCATACATATGAATCCCTGCATCTTGAGAACATTTTTCTAAAATATTGATCATAAAATTACAATAAATTAAACTTATTAAATACTCTTGGAAAGATACCATTTGCAGGTTTTCATGAAAATATACCTGGCTTAATGATAGCTTGAATTGTGTTCATATTCCAAATCTATAATTTCTTTTGTTAATCAAAAAAATTGGCCGGGCGCGGTGGCTCACACCTGTAATCCCAGCACTTTGGGAGGCTGAGGCGGGCGGATCACGAGGTCAGGAGTTCGAGACCAGCCTGACCAACATGGTGAAACCCTGTCTCTACTAAAAATACAAAAATTAGCCAGGCGTGGTGGTGTGCCTGTAATCCCAGCTGCTCAGGAGGCTGAGGCAGGAGTATGGCTTGAACCTAGGAGATTGCAGTGAGCTGAGATCGCACCATTGCACTCCAGCCTAGGAGACAGAGTGAGACTCTATCCAAAAAAAAAAAAAAAAGTGACCCAAGAAATGACATCTGTATGCATCTTGAGAAGAGGAATAGAAGCTAGGAGTTGTTGAATGGTCACTTATGTTAAATACTTTGGATGCATCATAGCATTTAATCCTCATGGCAGCCCTTGAAGTATCCCCATTTTACAGGTGAGGAAACAAGGCTCAGGCGGATTTGTAACTTGCCAGCACCACAAAACTTGAAAGTGGCAGAGTCTGCAGTTAAATTAGGCATCTGTCTAACTCAAACGAATTATGTAAGAATGGAAAAACAGTTAAATCCATTATGAAATGCTGTGCAGACACGGGTGTCATTGTATGGGGAAATGCTCAGCTCGACGGGCAAGGGCATGCTATAAAACTGTAGAACCCCATAATTGTTAAGAATGTGTGCATGGACCAGGTAAGAATAGAGACAAATGAAAAGTTTAACTTGTGACAGAATTTGTTTTAGTATATGTGCTGCCAAAGCGAGCACCAGAATTTGTTTAAGTATTATTTTGAAATTGCCTTATTTTTTTAAAAAAGAAACTTATTTTTTGTCAAAAAGTATGTACTGTAACATATTCATACTGTATATTCAAATGTATTATTCATACCCCTACATATTTCTACGTGGCATATTAGCTGTTCTTTCATGTCTAGATTTATCCTCTGTGTTCTCCTTATCACCTTCCTCTTAACTCCTGAAAACTCCTCCCTCATGGTCCGTCACCAGCAAAACGTCTATATCCTTAAAGCCTCCTCTGAAATTACTTTTATCTTGTTAAACCCAAACTTGGATATTCCCTGAGAGAAGCCCTTTCAGGTTACAGCTCTATTTTTTGCCCCAAAGTAGAGGAGTGTAAGTGGTCTCTTTATTCTTCCTCATCACCTTTACCATTCCACTTCACAATTCCCTAAAACTCTTTGCTTTAAATCACTTGTCCACCAGGCTTTAAACCTCTTGTTCATCAGACTGTATCACCCACTACCCCATCATTGTTAGTTACCTACTAAGCCTAGGATTCTGTCCTCACTGTGACATCATTTTAGTTCCTGGCTCACTGTTATTCTCTCCAGAAATACTTCTCTCCTTATCAAGGAGGATTTTCCTTGGAAGTATGATCCTTTTCATACCCCTGGGCTTCTCAGTCCTTTAGCTGTTTGCCATCTCAGCCTTTAGCAGACATCATCACCTTAGACCACATCATCACCAACAACTCCATCATTCCATTTTCTCAACTGCATGCACTGACTTCTCTCCTCTGCATGGCTTTTGCGCTCACTCCCTCTAGGGTTCAAAACTCAATTCCATCAAAATCCATGATCCATTGATCCCATTACTTTTTTCCTGGACCCCCTTCCCTCCCACCCAGGATCTTGTGCCCATTTTATCCAGCTCAGGGTCCATGTTCAGATGGCATAATTGCTCCCTGTGACATCCTGACTCCTTTGCCCCTCTCACTTCTCATATTCACTTGGTAGTCTCAGCTCTGGCTGAATCCGAATCTCTGGCTACTTTGTGCCAGCCTCTGTGCGTCTGACTTTGGCTGGACAAAAACACAACCGTACTCTGTGGTTTTACTTTTAATTAATGACCATGAACCTCAAGTAGGAACTTTAAAAATGCTGCCCAGCAATCATATTACGTTGTTCACTCTGATTGGACTTTTTAACAACCTTCCCCTCTTTCCTTAACCCTCTAACAACTCCTCTCTCAACCTTATTCTCAACCGATACCTTCCTTCCAACTTTGGCTGGAAAAATTGGAAGCTTCCAACAGCTTCCACTGCTGCACCTTTTGGGGCTGGAGATGAACGACCTGTGCTCCTGTCTAAAGGCAGCTCCTCCGTTTCAACATCAGATGCACCTTCTCTGCCTGCTCAAGGATTGGGTTCCAGTCATTCCTCCTGTCATCATCTTGTCCCCCTCTGCTGGTCGTTCCCATCAGCATGCAAGCATGCTTGTTTCTTCTCCCATCATACTAAGGAAAATAAAAATATTCCCTATCTCTCACTTCTGCTTCCTGTCAGTAGCCTCTGTGCCATCTCTCTTCTCTATTTTATAGCAGAACTCCCCAAATATCGTCTGGTGTCCATTCTTATTATTTCTAGTTTCTCTCTTCCCAGGCTGCCTTCAATCCAGTTCAGCCAAGCCATTGGCCTAGCTCTTCTGCTGCTCTTGTTGAAGTCCTCAATTAAATACAAGTTGCTGAATCCTACAGTTTTCAGTCCTCATTTCACTGTCCTGTAAGCAGCATTTGACATCCCCTCCCTGCTCATGGGAGGAATCAGATCACCTTGCTTCTTGGATGCACCCCTCTTGGTTTTCCTCTCACTCCCCTGGCCAGTCCTTCTCAGTCTCCCAGGATTCAAACCTTAGACCTCTTCTCTGTCCACACTCAAGCCCAGGGTCATCATCATCAAAATGTCGTGGCTTCAGATAGCATCTGTGTGCTGATGACTGCCAGATTTATTCTTTCCAGCCAGACTTCTCTCCTGACCTCTACACTTCTGTGTCTATCTAAGAACTTTTTGAACATCTCTGTTTGCATGTCCAATAGACATCTCAGACTTACCTGTCCAGACTGAACCCCTGACGCTCCCTTCACCGTCCAAAACTGCCCCATCTCAGTCAATATCAGCTCTGTTCAGAGTTGTTCAGGCCGGAATCCTCACACTTTCTCACCACTTCCCAGCCCCTGCCATGTCATACCCGAATTATTGTAGGAACCTTCTACCTGGTGTCGTTTTCCTCTGTGCCTTGCACGTTTATGATCTTCTCAACATGCCAGCTAGAGGGATCCTTCTGTAGCATTGGTTAGATCACCTCGTCTCTACTCAAATCCCCATTCCACTCAGGTGAAGAGTGCAACTCTTTAAAGGCCGTATACAGTCTGCCCACCTGCTACTGCTCTTTCTTTTCCCTCTTCCCTTATCCCACTCCAGCCATAGTGGCAGTACACCAGGCAGGCACCCCACCCACCTGAGAGTCTTTGGGCAGACTGTTGCCTAGTCTTAGAATTCTGAGACCTCTACCTGCGACTACCAAGCACTACCCTCCCTCACCTACACCAAAGGTCACCGTCTCAGCAACACTGACTGTTCTCCCTGCGCTCTCCATCCCCCACACCCCGCCCTAAATTTAATAGCACTTCTCGCCTTCTACCATGGTATACTCTTACTCGTGTATTATAGTATCCATCTCCTGCTGGAATGTAAGCTTTGGAAGAACAGAGATTTGTGTTAATTCCATTAATTGATGGATCTCCAGCATCTAGAATAATGTCTTCACCTAGTAGATGCTCAAAAAATTGTGTTGAGATTATGAATGAAAGCTTTCCTGTTTCTGCCTGAGAGATCTGCCCCATGATAGCTTTTAATTCCTTTTATGTTTCTGGAGTATTATATTATAGCCAGGATTCAGAAAACAACTACTAAGAAACACTGTATCCCTGACATGGTTGCGTATGGTCTTGATTCCAAACTGAAAACCGTTCTTCTCAAATGCTGCAGCAGGGTCACAGATACTGCAAATGTAAACATGATAGATCCTTGATATTTTAGGAATATGTTCAAAGTGCTTCATAAATCCTGTGAATTGTGGAGACTGTGATACGGCCTACTCGCATGATTTTCGTATATAGCAGTAAAAGGAAAGAAAGGAGCCACGTGGAGCTCCAGAGGCTGAGTGGCCGGTGGGCTCAGTGGTTGGGAGGAAGCTCACCAGACAGCTGTCTGCTGCTGCTCCATGCTTCTGCCTCAGCAGCATCACACATTACAGCAGCTCATGAGCCCTAGACATGACCTGCATATTGTTGAAACCAAGAATATGAGTTATGTGAAAGCCAGGAATCCATTATATCGTTTTGTTCTATTTGCAAAAAAAATGTAAATACTAATTTTAAAAACTTAGCTCTCCCAGGCTTCTAAGACTTGGTTTTAGAATGTAAATGTGTGGTTCTTATTACAACTAATGGGCAAGGTAACTTCAATGTTTAACTTACTGTTAGAAACAACCATTTATAACAAAGTGAGTTTTCACTTTGAGATCAAACAGCAAGTAAGCATTCATTCAGTTTGATTTTGGACATCTGGGAATAAACTCTAAACATAAACAAGAAGAATGCAGTTTATTTTCATTTTAAAGCTGATTTTAAAATCTCTCTACCTTCTAGTTTGATGGAACCTAACCATAACGCCTTTTTTAAAAAAATTAATGATGAACAGGAATCTTTGACAAGGAAGGGCTGGACTAAAGAGAGAGGATGCTGTTGCCGTGGTAACAGCAGTCCAGCATAAACATCTTAGATCTCTTCTGTTTATCATATGTTTTAGGGCAATTCAAGCTGCTGGAACAAGACCGAGATATAAAGGAGCCAGTGCAATATTTCAACAGTGTGGAGGAGGTGGCTAAGGCATTTCCTGAACGCGTGTACGTCATGGAGGATATCACATTCAACGTGAAGGTAGCTCTTGAAGCACCAAATATTTACATTCACTAAAGATAATTTAACTTTCAAGTCTGGATGTACACAGTAAGTGTTCATCTGTGTCTCCCAGGAGAGTTTCACCTTCCTAATGGGTTAGTGGCAGTAGCCAAAAACCACGTATATTGTAGCTGCCCCGACTCCCTGACTACTTATGTATTTATTAGCATTATCTTTTGTTAGAATTTAAAACTGATATCTGAGTTCAAAACTGTAGCTGTTGAGGCAGATAAGTGATATTTTTTTTTAATTTGGACTTCATTTCCTAATATGTAACAGTGTTTAGCCAGATCTCCACTTCTGGGAGCAAAAGGGATATGATGAAACTAAAGAATACCAAGCACTTACTTAAAAAGAAAGAAAGAAAAAAATACAGAGAAAGAAGAGGTTTCTAAGCATTGCTTGAAGTCAGCATGTATTCATTCCATTTTTTGTGGACTGTCTATTTCACTATACACAAAGAAAACTGATGTCGCCCAGAGAAAAGCTATATAGTGTTTGCTGTGCTCCATTTGTTCTGCATTCTTAAAGGGACAGTACAGTCCCCGTCCAGATGTTGAGCAAGGTTCTTTGACTAGACTTGCTGCTGAAGAGGAACTGACCAGAGAAGCAAGCCACCAACCAGGCCCATCGTATTGCCTGCAAATCCTCTACGTTTTCTCCAGCAATACCCACAGTTATAAAATACTTTAGAAAGTGTTCACATTGAAGGGGTTTTCTCCTTAATGTCATTTCAGCCCAAAGTCCACCTAAATCACATTCTCTGAACATTTCAAGGTTTAGGGGGGGCAAGATTCCTGTTTCTTAGAAATCCACTCTATGTGAAAAACAGACTACATGGTGTGTTGGCCCAAGAATGCAGCAGTGTCTTTGTGGATGAGTCACTCCACCCACACTCTTCAGGAAAGGGAGGAGATGTCCAGAACAGCCCCTTATTGGAGAAATGGTTCTGCCCATTTCATTGTCTAAGCTAAGTCATTTCTTCTTCCAGTTCTAAAATACAGCTGCTTTGGTCTACGCTCTTTTAGTTTTATTATTAAGATGAGTGAGATTTTATATTTTGTAAAAATCTTTACTAAGTAAATTGTGCTTACATACAAAAATATTTATCATTTTTAACTTTTTCAGTGGCCCTAGTATATGAGCGGTCAAGACAGCTTACATTTGTTTACAGTGAAAACTTGTGCAAACATGTTCATTTTTAAACATACCTAGACTCATTGGTCAGAAGTTAAATCCTATTCCTTTAGTGTTTTGATATGATTTAAATTTCTCCCTAAAACATATTTAGAATTCTCTAAATGAAAAAAAGAAGTTTTTTTAAGAAAGGAAAGTTAGTAGTTTTAAACTCCTTTCTAGAAAAATATTTCATTTGCTAATAAACAATAAGAAATCAAATGTAAATTTTAAAGTGATTTTTAAAGATTTTCTCCAGTATTAAAATGTAGCATTTCCATCTTTGGTCACATATTGCTCATGTATACTGTTTTTTAAAAATGCCTTTAGCAGCTTTTCTTGGTGAATTTGTATTAAATCAGGAATGACTGAGAGGATAATACTGAAATTTATACATTTTGTTAGAGTTCTTTTTTAAATATAGAGTACCATGACTGAATGTAGTCATTAAAATGTGTTTGATAGAGAATATCATTTAAGAGTTCAAAGGCACAGTTAAGTGTGTGAAATGTGAGCTTATAGCATCCATAAAACTAATTGGATTTGGGTTGAGTTCCGTGCTGTGCAAACATAAATATTTAATATTTCTAGTCTGTTACTTATGGAGTTTTAAGGTGCCATCACCTCTAGCTTGCATGAGTCATTAAAACATTATTCAATTCTGTTCAAAGAAGGATTGTTATAGGAACCTCAGGAAATTTACATAAAGATATACACAAAAGGTTTTGTGCTTAGTGATAAACACACAAGTAAATAAATAAACTAAGGATAGTTATCGAAAAGTTTGTCTGGATACTACCTGGACCAAAAGTAAAGGCTGGAAGTCATGGTCTTCTTTAATTAAAAATAGACTGGATTAAGCCAGGGCGTGGTGGCTCATGCCTATAATCCCAGCACTTTGGGAAGCTGAGGCGGTTGGATCACCTGAGGTCAGAAGTTCGAGACAAGCCTGACCAACGTGAAACTCCATCTCTACTAAAAATACAAAAATTAGCTGGGCTGGTGGCGCACACCTGTAATTCCAGCTACTTGTGGGAGTGCTGAGACAGGAGAATCGCTTGAACCCAAGAGGCAGGGGTTGCGGGGAGCTGAGATCGCACCACTGCACTTCAGCCTGGGTGACCGAGTGAGACTCTGTCTCAAAAAAAAAAAAAAAAAAAAAAGACTGGATTATTGTGTCTGTGTGAGAACTAAGAACTAAGCAGGGGAGGAGTTAAAGAAATGGGATTTTGGTTATTCTCATGGAGAAGGTAGGAAAAAATTTAAAACAATACTCTTTACTCATAAATGTAGCTATTATCCAAGAAGCAATTTTTTAAAGAAAGATTTCAAACCTCCTTAGAAGATTTCACCCTCTGTCCTCTACTTCAGATACAGCATAAATTAAACCAAAAGGATAAACCACTGAGAAAAGCACTTGCAGTTAAAAATTGATAGTTATCTGGCATCATGATAGTCAAAAGACATAATTATTATTAGAAATAAATATACATATGTATTTTGATGTATGTATTTACAAGTCCAAACTGAAATTAATCATAATGAGAATATAAAATAAAGCAAAAGTATTGAAAGAATGGGAACTCTAGTTCTGGGTTTCTTCCCAAACTGTAGCAAAATTTAAACTTCAAATTTTAAATGTACTGGCGAATACTAGTACTATTTATACATTTGTTTAAAAATGAAACGTTATTTTTAATTTGGAACTAAAATTTGTCTTTAAAAGATACCTTGATGTGTTGAAAACTACCTGCTTGATTGCCCCCATCATTGATTAGCTGCATGAAATGAATTCATATGTATTAAGTGTTTAATTCTTTAACCCGCACATATATTTTGAGCACCTACTATATGCCCAGCACTACTCCAGGCACTGGGGCTGAATGGTGAATATGCAAGTCCCTCACTGCATGGAAATTAGTCTAGTAGGGGAGGTAGAAGATAAATACATAAACAAGCATTAATACTATCTCCAAGTGGAGATACCAAGAATCAGTTGGATCTGCAGGCCAGGAGCTTAGATAATAGGCTCAGAATATATAGCTGGGACTCATCATCTTCTGGAAGACATTTGAAGCCACGGATCTAGTTGATTTTACCTATACCAGTGGTTCTCAACCAGGAGTGACTTTGTCCCTCAGGGGACATTGGCAGTGTCTGTACACAGTTTTGATTGTCATGGCTGCGGGGTGGAGGATGTTACTGTTATCTAGTGGGTAGAAGGTGGGGTTGCTGCTAAACGTTCTGTGATGCACAGGACAGGCTCTCATAACAAAGGATTATCCAACCCAAAATGTCAGTAGTGCCAAGGTTGAGAAGCATTAACCTACAGACAAGATTAAAAGGAGAAGAGCTCTGAGGACTGAGCCCTGGAGTACCCCAGCAGTTAGGGGTCTAGAAGAGAAGACTGGATGGGATAGCAGTGAGGTAGGAGGATGGCTGGGAGCATATCGTGTCCCAGAAGCCAAGAATCAAGAAGGAATGAGCAACTGTGTCAAATGCTACTTAGTAATTGAATTAGATGAGGACTGAGAACTAACCATGAAATTTAGCAAAATGTGAAGGTCATTGGTGGCCTTGATAGGAAGCAAATAATAATCAGCTCTGAGACTGGAAAGTGAGTTAACCAGGACAGTACAGTGGGTGGTGGTCCTAGAGTTTTGTCAAGGTAAGTTTCAAGTGAGATTACTCAGCACCACCCTTTCTTTCTTCCAGCCATTTTCAGCTCCCTCGACGCAGGTATAGAGTAGAAAAAGAGCTGAGTTTAATCAGAGTTGAGGTTCTCCCAGTGAGTATAGCAGAGATCAGAAAAGATGTTGATGGAGTGTTCCCTAGAGTGAGTGACAGGTCGCACTGAGCCATGGAATCCTCACTGGGGGCTGGGTGCGGTGGCTCATGCTTGCAGTCCCAGCATTTTGGGAGGCCAAGACGGATGGATCACTTGAGGTCTGGAGTTCGAGACCTGCCTGGCCAATATGGTGAAACCCAGTCTCTACTAAAAATACAAAAATTAGTTGGGCATGGTGGTGCCCGCCTGTAATCCCAGTTACTCGGGAGGCTGAGGCAGGAGAATTACTTGAACCTGGGTGGCAGAGGTTGCAGTGAGCCGAGATTGCACCACTGTCCTCCAGCCTGGGTGACAGAGTGAGACTCCATCTCAAAAAACAACAAAAAAAGAAGAATCGCTACTGGCTAACCAAGTGTGAATAGAAGTGTAGCCCCAATGAAAATTGGACTTATGAGATAGATATGTTTGAGAAAATGAGATGCGAAATAGGAGGTGGTGGTAGAGTATAAAACTCTTGAAATTTAACTTTAGGCAGTAAGGTCGGTAATGACAGGAGTAGCTCTATTTTCCAATCTAAGTATGTCCATTTGAGTGAGCAGCTGAGGTAGTAGAAACAGAAAATGGAGATGAGAGAGTCAAGAAAATAAAAGGCTATGTGGGCAGGATACCTCTCACTGATCATTTGTTTATATCTCCTCTAATCCCTGCAAAGCTAAAGGAATTCCATGGTTTGGGAATAGCAGTCACCTATCTCTTTCACATTTTTTTTCTTTATCCATCTGGTTTTTAGTTTTCAGGGTAAGAATATTGTTTTTGTTTACTTGCTTTCCTGCATATTTGTGGGTTTTTTTTTTTTTTTAACTATAATAGGCTTTTTCTCTCTTAATTATCTCTCTCAGTTTTTTCATTAACCACCTTTCTTCTCATGTTTACTTCCAAAGTCAGAAAATGTCCTCTTTCTGAGTTGCCCATTCCAACTGAAGGCTCATACCCCTCCTTTTAATAATAAAAACAG